ATGAATGAAAATGGCTTGAAGTCAATCTATTTATAGACTCCTGGTAGCTATTTAGATTACCTGAAAAGGCATGGATGCCTGTTCGGATTAAAGAGACACACTCTTTGAAACTGAGTAGGCACCTCTGGAATGAACAATAAACAGAGCCAATTTTGGGTGCCAGATTCAAACTAATGGGCACAAAAATTTAAATACTATTTAGATATTCAATTTTGGTTGGGAATTTAATTATGATCCACTTTAGAATCCAATTGGTTTGACCCATAACCCGCACCTCACTAAATAATTTTCTCCAAAAAAATTATATCTTTTTTACCCAAGCTCGAGCCCGGCCTAGACGGGTGTGGTCATGGCGGTGGCAAGGTAGGCAACACATGTGTGGTGACTAAGGTAGTATAGGTGTAAAATTCGGGTAAATTTAAACTTTTATGAAAAAGGGCAAAATAGTAATTTGTTGCTACAGTACATGATGTAAACCTGAAATTTTCTAGAACTCGGGTGACGGAACAGACCTCACCGTTGGATTCGTCGTGCGAAATCTAGTTACCCCTATCAAATTTCATCGAATTCTGAGATAGTTAAATTTTTTACGTTTTACGAGGCAGTCGAGTCTCGATGACCCAAAAATGAAATTTTGTTTTATATAAAATTTCAAAAATTAGAAAATAATTTAAGGTAATTTAAAATAAAAATATTTTAAAATTAAATCAGGATGAAATTTAATCATTTCGGAGCTAAAATGGGCCTGAGAAAAAGAGGGTTGTGTGGCCAATTGTGGGCCAAGTATTCTAAGATTATAAATAAGGGAAAAAAATCAGATTTTTCCCCCATTCTTCAGCAGGTCTTCAACGTTGAGAGAAAGAGAGGGAAAGTGAGGAAAAAACTCCACCTTCTCTCTACGATCTAGGAAGCTTGAGTGCTCAAATCCACTCGGGTCAAGAGTTAAAGTTGGTGTCCTCGTCGAGGGTTATGCCTACGTACCAAAAAAGAGGGCTTTCATCGAAGTTCCAAAATCGAGCTTGTTGGAATCAAGGGTTTTGGGAGAAAATTATGGTCTTGAAGGCTTATACCAAGTGGGTTTATGCTTCAAGAGGTAGGGTTCCTTCCTACTTAGGTTTATTTAACAACCTAGGGTATAGTATGTAATAGGTATGTTGATAGAAAGATTATATCATTACCTATGTTGTGGAAATGGAGGAAATGGGTATGAAAATTGGGTAGAATGAATTTTACCTTGAATTGGGTTGTGAATTTAACTCACTATGATCCATGGAAATGGGTGCTATGTGGGCATGTTAAGTGTTAAATTATGCCTTGTTGAATGAAGTGTATTATTGGCATATATTATGTGATAGCATGCTTGTGAATGATTGTTGGATATGAAAATGTTGATGTATGCTCATAGATATATCGACATTGTGATGGAATTGGTAATTTTATGTTTTGAGATATAAATTGCCATGGAATATGTGTACATGTGATTAAATTTTGCTCATGTGGCATTCTTTACATATGGGCATGACATTGAAATATTAATGATGCATTACATTGCATTTGCACAAGGGAAACACATCCATAGCCATGAGTGTGGGTGTGTGTGCATAGTTAACATCAATCACCAAATAGGTGAATGATGGTGGGCTCGGGATAGTTGGATCGAAATTTTGACTAAGTCGCACGCTGTTATGGATAATGAATTAGGTCAGGGTAGCAAGAAGGGCTAGACTATCCCTCGGGTGAGAGACCCGGTGATCAGATATGCACTCCGTTGGTATAAGAGCCCATAAAGTGTGTCGGTGTACGCGGAACTGTTGGTGGAAGTCCATAAATTCCGTGTCGGTTGGGTGCCGTTGGTGTAAGTCCAAAAATAACCACTCCAAAGAGAGACCTGGAGAATTTTAAATTAGTCATTGGGTGTGCAATGCCAATGGCGGGGCTTGGAAATTCGGTTTGGTACTCATGACATACATGGGGAAAAAGGAGCTGGGGAGGGCTCGGGTTGAGTTTCATGAGTAAGTCTCATCTCATTTCATGTGATGATATGCAAAGATTTCAACATTGAATACTATATTGTGGTTCAGATGTTGTTGGTGGTAAAGTGTTGCTTGAACATTCAAATGTACTTAGGTTGGGGAATAGCCTCGGTGGAAAATAGTCTTGGTAGAAAATACTCTACTAGGCGTGGCTCACCCTATACAGGAACACATTTTAGGTGCGAGGTTCATACCGGTGGAAGACTCACATTCGGGGCTTCAACAATAAAGAAAGGCATGATTTGTGGCTTTTGAAAACAAGTCTTTATAAAAATCTTTGTTAAAACTACGTTTTTGGCATGTAATACATGTAAATTGTTGAACTGGACTAGTATGAATGAGGTTTTATGTGGAAAACTCCATTATGCATGTTTTGGATGAAAATGGGATGGTTTGGAATGCATTGGAAATCAAAAAGGGGTACAATAGGCAAAATTGGACAAAGAGTACCGGTACTGTGTACCAGTACAGTTGGATCCAGAGAACAGAGCGTACCAGTACTGATTGTCCAGAAGGCAAACCATACTGGTACCCAGTATTGGTATGTCTCCAAAAATTTGAAAATTTAAAACTAAAGTGCCATGTTTTTGGACTTTGTTTTCCTTAGTTCCAACAATACAAATGGACATTAAATGAGACACATTGGGGTATGTTGAACCTCGGTTGGATTTAATGATTAAAGGAACACGAGTTACACGTGTGAGTAATAATCCTGGGTAAAGGGATACTAATTGCTTGATGTCGGATTTTGCGGCACTCACAAGCATTTCCGTGGGTTGCGGGTGGTCAACGGTTAATAAATGACCCCGGTTCTAGGGGCGTCACAATAGGTGTTCGCTCCACTCACAAAAAGTATGGTACCCTTTGGGGCCCAACCCATGAAGTCAACTTGGAGTGTATTAACTCACCAAAGTTTTAGTCTTCTTCTAATTTGGGATAAGTCTTCTTCTACTACACCAATACTAGTTTATTTTATCACTTTAAATGGGTCACTTTGAGACATAATTTCTTACTCAATACTTGATGGTTTTAAACAAATAAATACACGACGTTTATCTGCTCATGAAGGAGAACGCGTTTAAACTCGGTCCCACCAATTTTGAGATGTGGGTTCCATTTTTATTTAAGCATTAAGTTACTCGTTTGAACTCGATCCCACCAATTTTGAGGTATGGGTCCCACTTTTATTTAAGCCTTAAGTTGCTCAAATAAAGATTATGAAATTTTTACCTCATCACAGAGGCACGAAAAATGCTGCAAGAAAAGAGCAATTAATAAGACTCTGAGAAGCAGAAGAAGTGAACACAGTAAGCTTTTGAGTATGTGTCTGTGTTGTGAGCTAAGTATGTGTGTTTTTTGTTCCATTTTATGATTTTGTGTTATCATGTGTATTTTTTGTGTTTTATGTGTGTGTGTTTTCTGAATGTAAAAGAGAGAGAGAGAGAGAGAGAGAGAGAGAGGGAGACAAAGATGTGTAATTGAGAGAGGAGATAGAGGAAGGGAGATTATTAAAGGGTTCTTATGTATTACACTTGTGTTAGTTAGTAGGGTTACTTTTGTCAATATACCAATGTACTCTACTATATATATGATAATGCAACACTCCCAGATTAAGGGATTCCACATTTCTACACGGCATCATAGCCTCCTCTGAGATATGTCTTAGATTTCATTAATTTTCTCCTTTGGCTTGGATTGTTTCTCCCCATTCTTAAAAGCCATAACATCTATGGTCATGTGGATGATACTCTTTCACGTCCTCCACCCTTCTTGCTTAGTGACTCCAATCAACTGCTTCCCAATTCGACACACAAGTCCTAGTTGCTGGTTGATTATTTGGTCCTCCCTTGGATTCAAGCCACTATTTCTTTAGATATCATTCACACTATCATCGAACCCAATTCCACTCCCATTGTGTGTGAAGTTTGGCTTACCATTGAGCAATTATTTCATGATTAGGTTAATTCAAGAGTTTTATAGTTGAAAATACAATTCTATCACCATCTTTTTCCATAACGGTTTATCTTCAGCAACTCATATCTATTGTTGATTCACTTGCTTCTGCTGGGAATCCTATTTTTTACACCAATTTGGTTATGCAAGTCCTTGCTGGTCTCCCTTCTAAAATCTTCACTCAGTTACCATTTCTTTCCTCTGTAGAGGCCCATTCTCTCCTCTTCATCCATGTGATTTTCCTTCAACAAAATGGCTCATCCAAATATCACTTCCACCTCTTCAACTGCATTTGTTTCAAGTCGTGGTTCTAATAAACTGTGCCATGATTTTGTGGTGGTCACAATAGAGGTCGCTCTTCTAACCAAGATTCTCATAGTAATCAGTGCCATGATTCTCATTCTGATAATCCCTCCTTGCATCATTGTGGTAAATCCAATTACTCTAATCAATATCACTTTTTTGATTCCTGTCATACTCAACCACCTCAATTTCCAATCGCCAGAATCACCATGGTCGTGGAGGTGTTTCCATTTTTGGCTCTCGTCCTACTTTTCTACCATCCTATTACCAACCACATCTTTCTCACCCACCTCCTCCCATTCAATGTCAATTATGCCATGAATTTTATCACATGGCTCATGACTGCCCTCAGAATTCCAAAGCCTACAGTGCCGATGTTGTTTACCCATCCTTTCCCACTACTTCTTCAAATGATACCTTTGATCCTAATTAGTATATGGATATGAGTGCTTCTTCTGATATAAGACTCCACTCAGGGAATTTATCTTCTCTTTCTTCTTATACTAGCTTTGATCAAGTTCCAGTGGGTTATGACCATCTTTTATCAATTTCTCATATTGGTAATTCTTCACTTCTCTCACCCCTGCCTCCTTTTCTCTTTGTAATGTCTTGTTGATTCCTAATATCCAAAAGAATCTTTTATCTGTCAAATAATTTACTTCCAATAATAATTGTACTATTGATTTTGATATTTTTGGTTTTTCAATTAAGGAACTCTGGACAAAGAAGGTACTTCTCAGGTGCAATAGTTCGGGTCCCCTCTTTCCTCTTGCTATATTTACAGGATGTTGGTTGGCTTGATCCGAAATGTGTACACTCAAGTGTAGGCGGTCAAGTTGTAGTAATAATCCGGTTAAGTCCGGAGTCGAATCCACAGGGAACTATTGTTGGTGTTTCGAAGTAAGTAGTGACAGAAACCAAGCAACTGGAACCCTTGAGATTTGAAGTTATGGGATTTTCTAGACAGAATATAAGATTCGTTTCGAGGGGTTTTTCTAGACAAAATATAAGAAATTATCAAATGTAACAGCCACCCTTTAACTTGAGGATCTGAACATGTAGTTAATCATCCGATTTATTATACTTGCGCTTGATAACTCAATTAACCCCTATCAACATAAATTTAACCGGAAGACAAAGATGGATTGTGAGAATTAAGAGCATGATTTTGATGTCTTTGTAGAGGTTTACAAGAATTGTCTGTACCGAGACTCAACCTATCTACAAACAAGCAAGTGTCACTACAAAGGATCCAACCGTTGCATTAGTATTCCATTCTTTAAATGAAGCACAATAATTGTGAAGATTGAAATGTAGTCATGAAGATCTAGCTGGGGCACTTGCCTAGAACCAATGGGTCTTTTTATGCAAGAGTCATCTATGTCATAGAAAGCACCCACGGTTGTACAAAGTACCTTGGCTTTGCTAGATGCATTCAATCATTTAATAAGCAAGTGTAATATAAAGCATTAAACATAAAAAAAAATGCACAAATATAACTTCCAAATGATTTATACATATTCATCACCTCTCACAAAAGAGTGAATGAGAAACTAATCACTCTTCATGGCTTTGGTAAAACTAGAAAAGTGAGTGATGTTCATCCCTCCAAGTAGAGGAGTTACAAAGTAAAACACACTATACAAGGAGCCAATCTTCGACGAAGAATGAGTGAATCATGTTTCACTCTTCATGGCTTTGATAAAGCTCTAGAAAAATGGAAGAGTTATACTCCTCTAAGGGAAGAAGGAAGTTCAAACAATGGAAGCAAATGAAGCTAATAATGAAAGTAGAAGAAAACTAATCACTTTTGTTGGGTTTCTACCTCAACCAAAAGATGATCTATCTTCTTCTATGCAAGTAAATGTAAATTAAAGTCTAACTCTACAACTAGCTCTACAAGTGGGTGTCTTCCTTAAGCTCCCACGATGGGAGTATTTATGGGCAAGGAGTAAGGGACAAGGCAGTGTGATAAATAGTGTAAGGTCTTCAAATTTCAAGTAAAAGCCCCAAGGTCCGGATAGAATATCAACCACTCTATAGCCTGTCTGGGGACAATGTTCAAACTTTTGTTGGCATTTGAACATGGTCTCCTATCTTCTTTGATAGGCATTCGAATGCTGGATGAGGTTTGAACTTCCCACTCAAGTGGCCTTTGTTCTTCTATGAGAGAAACTTCCACATGTCATATGCAATAACACACTCTTCAGGGGGTCCTCAAGTGTTTCAAGTAAACGTTCGAATGTTAGTTAGCGTTCGAACGTGGTACTCAAGTAGCTCTTTGTTTTTCTTCTAGCTGCAACACGCCATGTATCGTCATCTCAACAGTTTGGTTCTCCAATAATTCAACATAACGTTTGAATGTGGATTAGCATTTGAACATTCATGTCTTGTTTCAAGCTTCTCCAATTTTCTTCCAGAACCTGCGATTGTTGCATGAAAGTTTGGTATGCATTGATTTTAGGCCTTTGTACAATATTTTTCCTGAAATGCCATCATTGAAACTCTATCGAAGCCCAATTAGTCATAAAAAGGCATAGTAAGATTCTAGTTTTAACTACTAATCACACCCCAATCTAAATATTGCTAGTCTTTAGTAATAGTACAAATTTGAATGAAAAATTATTTCTAATGCTATTTTCGTAGGTCATTCGATTGCACTTAGCGTATGCAACAAGCCATTAAACCCCTAGGTTTCCCATAGCGGACGTGTGTTGTCTCGTGATGGTTTCAGTGAAGCTACCCACAAACTTCAATCAAACAGATGTGTATGTGAGATTGCTGATTAAAGTGAGTTAGCACCATGGTTGTTGGGACACCCAACCCTCAATCTCGACTTATATCCCACACACTTCACTCTCATAGGTACTTATTCTATACAAAAATTAGCATTTGTCATATTGGTGTTTGGAATTCCCTGTGTAGTAGGAATGACCATTCTAGCGACAAGAATTGTTATATAACAAACTTTCCACTTTAACACCTTCCATGGATAGCTTTGATTTTACAAACCTCTCTTAGAATGCTGTCAATAAAATTTTGCTCCGATTATAGTGACTCGTTTCGCAAAGGGCATGTGATCAAAAGAGGCCCAATCGAAAAAATCGCATGCACAATTAGTACGGGAAGGAAGTCTAAGAAAACAGACTAACTATGTTCGGCATAATCTCTTTGAAGAATATTGATGCAAATAAAGTAATACTTTTTAACATAGCCCATTTTTCAGTTAACGTCCTACACATGCATCAGACTTGAGATCAATTAGGGCTTTTTATGGTCTGTAATATGGCCATAGGTCAGTGGCTAACGAAATGATGTCAATTGTATTCAAAAGTTATCATTTCTTTATGCAGCACACCTCTTTCTAACTTCTTGAAATTTTGCCTATAGGGTATTTATTTCTTTCATTTTTCTCATTTTTCACTTTCTTGACCATGTTCTATTTTTTTGTCTCTTTTTTACTTTCGGTTGTTTTCACCGACTTTTCTTTCATTCAACAGTGGCCACCATTGTCTTTTTCTTTTCTCTTGCTTTTTTGTATCATACTAATTTATAAGAGGGTACAAGAAAATTAGATAGCAAAGGTATGTCAAATATATTTTCCTGTGGCTCGATTATCATATGGGTTACTTGAAAAGAAATCATACATTAACAGCTCAATCATGGCTAAGTAGGGATATAATTTTGTAAAAGAAATGGCTAAGGCTCAAAATTAAATCAAAGATGGCCTGAGATCCTTTCTCAAGTATGTGCATATGTGTGTGTCGTATGAACAGATTCCTTGTGAGATATGTCAACAGATTGCTTTAGTTGCATCAATCAAAACAAGTTTAATGAGATTATTCAAGGATAGCAATGAAAAATCTTGAGTAAATGTTAATATTCCCTTAAAATCATCGCAAAGCTCGAAATTTACCTCCACTAATTATGTCAGGTTTTTCTGGGAATGTCAATTATATATTGATTCCATTTTCGAGTCTGGTCATCTTGTACCTTAAGAATAACAAATACCAATGTACATTTGACAACTAAGTATAGAGAAAATACCATTTTTTCAAGACATGCAGTTTTAAGTCTAGGTTGCTAAGTGAGGTGTCAAACTGATCATGTAATTAGTCACTTTAACTAACAATCTCAATATTCACATTTGTTCCATCATTCATTGACAAATAAAAATGTAATGTTAAGTATACACATGCATTTACAAAGATAAATGTGATAAAACTGATTCATTCATTTCACAAAATATTATAGTTTAGCACAAAAATTTTAAACATTCAAAACAATTCATAAAAGCTCCTAAGTACTGAAATCTATCACTCTCCAACTCCTCCAGCTCCTCTTACTCCTCCAGCTCCATCCTTCAAATAGCTGAGAATCTCCTCTTGCTGTCGGAGAATCTCATTTGCTTGGCCTTGATTCCAAGCATAATTTCTCGTAATGATCGTTGGGTGCTAGTGCTGGTGTTGGGTCTTGCCTCATCCTGTGTTTGCTTATGGGCTCTCTCAGCCTCTAGCTCTCCTCCTCCTCATCTAGGACATCCTACACCTCATCAGTGCCTCGGGCAACTGGTACCTTCTGTCTTATCCTCAGGCCGCCACTATGACCTTGGCTTCTCCGAAAGGAAGCCTTGTTCAATGGCCCTATTTGCTTCTGTATCCCCATTTATGGCCAAACTTGGACTCCATGGTCCAAGCACATCTTCATCACCAAAGAGTTGAAAGGGAGTGAATTTCTCTTCACATCACACCCCTTCGTCATCTCTATCAAGATCAATGTAGGGAGGTCTATGTTATGGCCCCTTCCGACTACGTATGGTAATCGGGCCATCTCTGGAAGTATTTCGTTCTTCTGTCTGATTAGGGCAAGGTTGGAGATGACAATCAAATTCAACATCTTGTATTTGTCATTCAACTCACATTGCCAAAAAAATCTCTGACCCACCCAAGAAAATATGGCCAAGCCCGTTAACTCCGCCCCCACAACATCCATACCAACACTCTTTCTTGGGGGGTAGCTAGGCCTCGATACCCTTGGTATGTCCCATATCTCCACAATGTATTCCACATCAACATCAGTGTGGGTCCCCCTCACATAGGTCTTGATCGCCCCATTGACGATCTCAGCGTTGGAGTAAAACTCCAACACCAACTCCTTCACGGCCTCTCCACCGTTCCTTAAATACATGCTCCAACTTCTCTCCTCCATGTTGGCATTAATGCCCAACTCAACAAAGTCAAGCAATTCAATGGAGCATTCACAAACAATAGCTTGAGTGTGGTAAAAATTCTCATACCTATCCACTTTGAGGGCCATGGGAAAACGGGTTTTGTCATATCTCCGGACAATGGGTGGCCTCCCCTCTCACTCCTCAACGAAATTGGGCTCTTGATTGATCACCCTCTGCCTTGCTGGCATTTTCATCCTTGGGAGCATGGTCCTTGGGTTTGGAGGTGTTAGGCCTTGAAAAGTTTGATTTTTTTGTGAGAATGGTGATAAATGAGGTGGGAATGGGTTTGGGATGGTTGATTTTTGGTAGAAATTGAGAATGAGTGGTGTTTTGAGGCTTGGGCAGTGAAGAGTCGCCCTAGGGTTTGAGGGTTTTCAAGGGTTTTGGGTGTTTTTGAAATGGAGAAGACAAACCTGGTATTTATAGGCTGGGAGTTATCGTGCGAATGTCATTGACGTTTGAATGTGTGTGCAAGGATTTTAAAAACATGGTTCGAACATTATACTGGTGTTCGAACATGGAAAGTTCTCAGTACTTTTGAGTTTTGTCAAAGGCCAAAGTACTGTAAGAATCCCACGTTCAAACATGAGATTCTAGTTCAAACATTCTCAAAGCATTTGAATGTGGAGAGCTCTCAGTACTTTTGATATCCTATAGAGGCCAAAGTATTGTGA